GCCTGCTGCCTCCTGAGCAGACCCTGTTCTCTCTCGCAGAGGAAGTGAGTGATGAAGAGATGAGTGAAGGTGAAGAGCAAGAGAATGAAAACCACGTCATGGTCGGTGAGTGGCCCCCATGACAGTTCACACACCCCGCCCGCCCTCTGGGGTTGCCGATGCCTGGCCCCCCTGTGGGCCTTCCCCAGTGCAGAGCGCCTCTGTGCACAACTTCTCCCCAAAGCTGCGCAGCCAAGAATGGAAGTGGCTTGTGAGGGTCTGTCTGCCTCCCCAGGGACCAGACTGCTGGCCACTTGCCATCTGTGCCTGTTGGGACCTGGTGGTTGCTGTGGTAGAATGCAGGGGAGGGGTGGTGGGAAATGCCGCTGCAGGTCGGTCCCCAGGCGTAGGGGTCTGTGCTGGACAGCAGGCACTAAGCTGTGTTCTTGGGGCCAGAAACATGAATTCTAAGCACGGCCTCCCCCCGCCACCCTCAGACTAAGCTGAGCCCTCCAGGACTGTGGACCTTGTGCCCTCCGTGCAGGTGCCAGGCCCAGTGCCAGCTCCTCATGGAGAGGGTGTGAGACTTGCAGCCCTGCCAGGCACCCATCCCTGCCTGTTTCCAGGTCATAATTATGTTATCTTTAAAGTTCCAGAGTCGCGATTTGACCGAGACTCGGGGGACAGTGAGGAAGGGGAAGAAGAAGTGGGTGAGGGGACCCCACAGAGCAGCGCCCCAACTGAAGGCGACTATGTGCCTGACTCCCCAGCCCTGTCGCCCATCGAACTCAAGCAGGAACTGCCCAAGTACCTGCCGGCCCTGCAGGTGAGGCCTCCCCCTGCCCCCGCTCCATGCTGGGGCACTGCTGGTGGTGCCGCCTAGAGTATCCCACCCCGGTGCAGGGCAGGCCTAGCTACCTCCTGTGCCGCTGGCCACGGCAGCCTGGGGAGGATTCTAGGCACAAGGAGCCACTCCGTTGGGTCTGGCCTTGTGCAGCCCCAGGCTGGGGATGAGGTGGCTTCCCAGGCTGCTTTGCCGCCCTCCACGCACAGATGCCTATACGTGCTCTATGGAAAAGGACAGGGGGTGGGGAACCTGCTGAGGGCCTGGGGAGGGCAAGGTGGCCTCAGGGGCCTGTACACCACCCCCGGCTCTGATCTTCTTGGTGCCAGCTGAGAAATCTGTCAACAGGGCCGGGACCTTCTCTCCCGAGCCTGTGCTATGTGGGGTGTGGCATGGGTGTGCATGGACCCTGGTCAGGTGTGCTGTCCGTCCTCATGCCCGTACTTTCTGCCAGGGCTGCCGCAGTGTGGAGGAGTTCCAGTGTCTGAACAGGATTGAGGAGGGCACCTATGGGGTGGTCTACAGAGCAAAGGACAAGAAGACAGGTGCGTAGGTCCTGGGGATCCCTGGGGAAGTGTGGCGTCTGGGTGGCTGGTCAGCAGAGCAGCTGGTCAGCACGACGACTGTGGCCTGTCCTGAGATGGTTGTGATAGTGATTCGCTGCTGGAGGCACAGTGTTGGATTCTGGCAGTGGACAGCTGCTGCTCTGGGGAGCCTGCTGGTCCTCCCACTGCCTCTGGCAGGGATGTTGAGGGGCCTGGGCTTCTGGACACTGTCTGCCTTCACCTCGTGTACATTCCAGAGTGTTGTGCCTGGGGCCTCACTGCACCTCGCAGGCGCTCCATCCTGACTTGGATGACACAGGCCTGAGGCCCCAGCACTTCGGAAGCCAGAGGTTGTCCTGCCTCAGGCTCAGCTGCTTGCTGTGGTGGCAGGTGACAGTGTCCGTGTGATGCGGGGGCAGGGAAGTGGCAGGCATGGGGTGGGGCGGCCCAGCAGCTCACAGGTTGGGGCCTCTCCTCTGTTCCGCTTTCCTTGTATGCTGGGACCTCATCACGCACTGTATACTGAACATTTCCCCAGCTTGGGGCTTTTCTTAGATCACTAACTATGAAATAAATATTGGGAAATGGAAATCCTGTTCAGTGAGTTACGGTTCCGGGGCTGAGGTTTTAGCTCAGCGGCAAAGCGCCTGCCTGGTAAGCGCAAGGTCATGAGTTCGATTCCTGATACCGGAAGAAAAACAAAACAAAACCAAAAAAAAAAAGAAAATGAGTTATGGCTCCTAACCCGTGTGGGCGTTTTTCAGCCCATCTGCAAGCGTTTGTCGTTACAGATGAAATTGTGGCTCTGAAGCGCTTGAAGATGGAGAAGGAGAAGGAGGGGTTCCCGATCACGTCTCTGAGAGAGATCAACACCATCCTCAAGGCCCAGCACCCCAACATCGTCACAGTCAGGGTGAGGCCCGCCCCACCTCCTGCAGCTGCCAAGTGGGCAGCCCGGGCTGCAGTGCTGAGCAGACTCACATGCTCCAGAGATAAACATTAGTGTCCAAAACAGCATGCAGGTCCCTGCTGCTCGTGTGACTGTGCTGAGCCGTCAGGTTTCCTGGGAGTGCAGGCAGCGGCTTGAGTGGAGCCAGGCGGTTCGCCGGGAGCCACCGCCACCCACAGGCCTGCTGTTCCCTCCCCAGGAGATCGTTGTGGGCAGCAACATGGACAAAATCTACATCGTGATGAACTATGTGGAGCACGACCTCAAGAGCCTGATGGAGACCATGAAGCAGCCCTTCCTGCCAGGTATGGCCACACTACTGAGGCTGCAGGCCCTGAGGACGGTGACACCACCCCTGCCCAGCAGTGCCCACAGCCTGTGCACAGGCCACCTTGGGCTGGGAGTCCCTGGAATAGGTTCCCCTGGCAGGCTGGTCCTGCCTTCAGGTGTGAATCCCCTGGAGGGCTCTGGCCCCATGCCAGGTCTTCCTGGCTCCCTAACAGGGGCGAGTGTGACCCCTTGCTGTTCCAGGGGAGGTGAAGACCCTAATGATCCAGCTGCTCCGTGGAGTGAAACACCTGCATGACAACTGGATCTTGCATCGGGACCTCAAGACATCCAACCTGCTGCTAAGCCATGCCGGCATCCTCAAGGTGAGCACAGAGCCTGCCCCCCCAGCAGCCCACTGGGGAGCCTGGCCCAGCCTGCCTCACACATCTCTGCCCCTGCAGGTGGGTGACTTCGGGCTGGCTCGGGAATACGGATCACCCCTGAAGGCCTACACCCCTGTTGTGGTGACCCTGTGGTATCGTGCCCCAGAACTACTGCTGGGTGCCAAGGTGAGTCCCGGGGTCTGAACCGACCCTTCCCCCAGTGGGGCTCAGCGGGTGCATCTTGCCCGGCTTGAGCCATGTGCTCTGGCTCGTTCCTTTCAGGAATATTCCACGGCTGTTGACATGTGGTCTGTGGGCTGCATCTTTGGGGAGCTGCTGACACAGAAGCCCCTGTTCCCTGGCAAGTCAGAAATCGATCAGATCAACAAAGTGTTTAAGGTGGGTGTGAGGCCACCCGGCATTGTACAGGCGCCCCAGTGCGTGGCTGGCGGGCGCGTGCAGGACTGGGTCAGGGCTGTGGGTACTGTGGCCCCTTGGTGGCCTGTCCTCTGGTAACAGACGCAGGCATTTGTGTCACACATCGTGGTGGGCCCTTCCCTTCAGGGCATGGTCAGTTCAGATACTCCTGTCTTTCAGGACCTGGGGACCCCCAGCGAGAAAATCTGGCCGGGGTACAACGACCTCCCCGCAGTGAAGAAGATGACCTTCAGCGAGTACCCCTACAACAACCTCCGCAAGCGCTTTGGGGCTTTACTGTCCGACCAGGGCTTCGACCTCATGAACAAGTGAGTCTGGGCAGGGTCTCCCTGCTCTTGGCCTGGCCCGCTGTGGCTCGCTGCCTGAGCACCCCGCAGCCTCTCTCCGACATGGGGGCCCATGGCCAATGCTCTTGCCAGGTTCCTGACCTACTTCCCTGGGAGGAGGATCAACGCAGAGGACGGCCTCAAGCACGAGTACTTCCGCGAGACCCCACTCCCCATCGACCCCTCCATGTTCCCCACGTGGCCTGCCAAGAGCGAGCAGCAGCGGGTGAAGCGTGGCACGAGCCCGCGGCCCCCAGAGGGCGGCCTGGGCTACAGCCAGCTGGTGAGGGTGCGGCTGCCGGGGGTGGGGGCCCAGGGAGCTAGATCGGCGCCGTCCTCACGCTGCCCCTCTTGCCCCGCAGGGTGATGACGACCTGAAGGAGACGGGCTTCCACCTCACCACCACCAACCAGGGGGCCTCGGCTGCCGGCCCTGGCTTCAGCCTAAAGTTCTAACGCCCCCAGCCCCGCCCTGTCCACACCCAGCTCCAGCCCCCCGATGTGGCTCCCAGGGCTGCAGGTGCTGAGCCAAGACTCCCAGGCCTTGGACTCCTCGTCTGGGTTTTCCACCTTCTGTTTTTTATATTTTGGTTTGTAAATTTGTAGAATTAAATCACGTTTCCTCATGGAAGGAGGGCTGTGTTGTTGGATATTCCTGACCTGGCCATGAGGGAAGGTGGGGCTGCATCTCCAGTGCCAGTGTTGCTGGCGCAGCCCTCCTGTGGCCTGACCTGCAGCAGGTGAGGGTCCTCGCTGCCAGCCTTGGGGGATGGAGTCTTGACTCTGCTGATGACCAGGTGCCACGGCCAGGCCTGGTGGGCTTGGTCCTGGCCACAGTGGGTTTTTATATATGCAGTTGTTACATGTTTCCAGATGTAGTAAACTATTCTTGGAGGAAGTTCTGCTGTGTCGTTTCCATTCCCAGACTGCCCACCTTGGGCAGTAGGCCCAGTCTGTCTGCGCCCACCTGGGCCAGCCCTTCCCCGTCCTGGCCTGGCTGAGCAGCACGGTGGCCCAGGGAACAGCAGCCGCCCAGCCCTGCCCGCGCCCCTGCCCAGGTCTTGCTGACACCCTAGAGGCCGCTTTCACACTGGGCTGCACTTGGCCTGCCCCGGTGATGCTGCTGGCACCTAGGCCTTTTCACCCCACTGTGTCACTGTGGGAGGAGGGATGTTCCCGCCCTTGGTTCCCCCACACCCAGGGGAGGCCATTTCCCACTGCTCAAGGCCCAGCCTGCCTCCCACCTATCCAAAAATCAGCCCGGAGATGTGAGAGAAAGTGCTTTATCTGCCAGCTCAGGCGTGCTCAGCTCCGCACGCGCACGCGCCAGGAGTACGTAGTGAGCACACGCTGGTGCCGGCGCACCACGCACGTGTAGGTGCCCTCGTTGATGGCATTGGCAATGATGCTCAGGTGTGCCTTGCCCAGGGCCAGGTACCCGGGGTAGGAGAACTCCAGGGGCTCCTGGTCCTTGTACCAGCTGTGGGGAGAGGCGGCTGAGAGCCTGACCCCGCAGTGCTGCCCCACCTGGCTGCCTGGGCTGGCCCACACCCACACTCACTACACTTTGCCTTTCTTGTGAAGGATTTTCTGTCCACAGCGGAAGGTCACGTTCCTGCCCTCCAACACCAGCCTGGTTTTGGTCCTGGGGGGGGGCGGGGTGGCGGCCACCGTGGGGAAGGGGAATTCTGCTCGGGCAGGGGTAGAGGTGCATTAGGGGCTCCCCGGCCAGAGCAGGACAAGAGGAGACCTGGCCCAGGGCCCCACCCCGGCGTCACCGTAGCAGAAGTCACAGCTGCTGGGGCACAGCCTCTTCATGAGCCTCCGGCGAGTGTCGCAGAAGCCCCGGCGTGCCCAGGACGCGCACACGAACAGTCTGTCCAGGCAGCCTGCAGAGCGCAGCGGCTCAGGGCCTGCCCGAGCCCCCCCACCCGCCGGCACCCTGGCCCGGCACCCACCGTAAAGCCGGTGCAGCCCCCACAGCTCGTCCTGCGACAGCGCCTTCCAGCCGCGCAGCGTGGCGTTGAGGTGCATGAGCGCCTGGCTGTGCTGCGAGTGCATCAGGCCCAGCGCGTGGCCAATCTCGTGGGCCGCCACGTGCACCAGGTCTGTGAGCCACACTCCTGTGGGGCCAGGGTCCCCTGAGCCCCAGCGCACACCCGCCCTCAGGCCGGCCCGGCTGCCTCTGGCCACAGCCCCGGGAGATAAGAGTGCGCCAGGCCCAGCAGTGACTTGGCCCCCAGGAATGCAGCCCGGCGCCCTCCCTGCGGGGGTGGGGGGGCACTCTCCAGGCTGCGGGCCGCCCTCCCCTCCCCACACCTGCCCCTCCTACACCCACAGGGTCCCCTTTGGCCTCACAGCCCCCCAAATGCGGCCCGCGCTCCCGGGGCGGCCAGGCGCGAAGGCAGCGCCCCACCTTTCTTCCAGCTGTAGCGCGTGGGGCCCAGCACCCAGTACTCGCTGTCATCGAAGTGGATGCCGCCGTGCGGCGGGAAGAAGGCGTGGGCCAGCTCGCCCGTGGGGCCGTCGAAGCAGTGGTGCAGGGCCGAGGCCAGGCAGTCCGTGTGGTTGGCCGGGTAGAAGCCTGGGGGGCACAGGCCTGAGCCGCGGGCGGGCGCGGGCGGGCCGGGGCGGGGAGCGGCACCCACCTATGCGCAGGTCGCTGGGCAGCTCGGGGGCCACCTCGCGGAAGCTGAAGGGGGACACGTCGCTCCACATGCGGAAGGCGGCGGCCAGGCCCCGGCGGGTCTCGCGGGGGCTCAGCAGGTTCCGCGGGAAGGACAGGATCCTGCGGAGGGTCGGGGTCAGGGCGCGCGGGCTGCGCCGGGCCCCCCCAGGGCCGGGGCGCACCTGTAGGTGAGGTTGAAGTGGTCCCAGCGCAGCCTGCCGGGGGTCAGCGTGTAGCGGCGTTTTCGGGGCGCCAGTGGGGACAGCGGGCGGGGGCCCCGGCTGGCCGAGACCCCGGGGGGGGCCCATCCCTGGACGTCGCTCTTCGCGGGGAGAAAGCGGCGTCAGGGCAGCAGGGACGGCGCCCAAGCCCCGGCGCGGGCGCAGAGCTGGCGCAGAGGCTGGGGCGGAGGCGCGGCCCGACGGTGCTCCC